CGGGCTCRGCCCCGCGCGGAGCTGCCGGCTCCTCTCTCCTGCAAGGCGCTCCGCTCAGACAAAGCTGCCTCTGTTTATTTGGCCGTTCCCAGGGATGCTCAGCCATCCCTAATCGCTGTAAAAATAAAAGCCCTTTTTTTTGCTTCACGTCACAGAAGGCAAGAATTTCCCTCGGTCGGTTCTTTTTCTTCCTGCCGGTGCATTTCCCTTTGCGGAGGCCTCGCTCCAAGGCTTCCCTGCCCCCTGCCTCTGCTCTCCTGCCCGCGTGAAGAGGCGCCCGGCAGCAGCCGGCGCACGTGGAGCCCGCGGTGCCCGGGAGGCCGCCTCCGCGAGGCTCTTCCCAGGGGAGCTGGGGAAGGCGCCGCGCGGCCTCGCGGGAGGGCGAGGGACAGCCGCGCGCGCTGCCGTCATGAAGGCGACGGATGCAGCCCGGTGCCYGGCGTGAAGTGTCGCCCGGCTGCTCCGTGCCGGCTGCCGGAGCAATGGGCGGCTGCGGCTCTGACACACAGCCCTGCTCTGCACCCACTTGGGCTTTCCCTCAGCCACCTCCCCACGCTGCTCGTGGTCTCTTGGCGGAGTTTGCCCGCTTGTCCGTGGAGAGCCCTAAGCAACAGTGACGACCTACTGACCTGGAATGCAGCTTGTGCYCGGCTGGGATGCTTGGCCGCCTCTCATCTCCCGAGGAGTCTCTGAGGCGGCTCTGGGAGCTCCCAGGGACAGGGATGCTCTCGGGCCGGGCTCGGTCCTGCTGCCTTGTGAAGGTGCTGTCCTRAGGAGGAGGATGGAGCGGGGTTGCGTGGATGGCGAGCACGAGGGCAGCGGCACTTGGCTTGTGCAGCCCGTGGCGGGGCTGGCGCTGGGGTCCCGCTGAGCCCGGACACACACAGTGATTCCCTGCTGCTCCGGAGGGCAGCGTGTCCCGCACAGCCCGGAGTTCGCGGCAGTGCCGGGGCGACCTGCGCCTGCAAGGAGCCTCCTGCGGCCTCCCCTCGCCAGCCCTGCGGCGGCTCAGGGCGCTTCGAGCAGGTAACGAAGGGATCTGGCCGGGAGCGCGGCGGGGGCTCCGGGGGCTGCCTCGGCCCCAGCCGGGAATCCCGGTGCCCGTGCGGGTCCGTGGGGCAGCCGGGCCGGGATCCGGTCCCCGTGGCGCATCCCGCGCGGAAGCGGCGCCGAGCCCGGGATTCCCGGCAGGCGGGATGGGCTTTCCCGGGCCTGCTCCCGCACGGAGCGCGGGGGCCGCCCCTGCGGGCGGGGGGCGCCGCGGGAGAGCGAGACAGCGCGTGCAGGGGGGCGGCCCCGCGGCCCCCGCCGCCCC